TCGCCGCCTATCCTCGTAGAAAGATGTGTCGTTGAAAAAACTGCCGTGCCAAACACAAATGTTTTGACGCATACCCGAATAAATAAAAGAAAAAAATCTAGACGGAAGCCATAAATGTGAGTGTCTGAATGAAAGAGATCAAATTTACGGGAACATATTTCGTGAATTATCGGCCAATTTATTTTCGTTCCTCCTCCGTGAGAGCAGCGACGTTGCGTGAAAGAAAAAGTCGCGCGAATCATCGGCCTCGTTTCTTCGATTCTAACATTCGACGACGTTTCCAAAATATATTTTCGTCTACGTTTTCGGAAGTTTTCGTGACGTTCGAATAAATCGACACGTGTCCGGTTGCGCCCTATACACACACACACACACATGCGCGCTCGCACGCGCGCCCACAGATCCGAAAGGAGTGTTTGAAAGAGTGATACGTTGGAAAAGACCGTGATAGATACGCGCGGGGGTGCATCGGCAGGCGGTGGCCGAAGTTAGACCGCCCGCTTACAAGCCGCGGCAATAAAATGAATTTATCGATGCCGCAAAACGGCGGCTCCTTGCCTACTCCCACCCCCCTCCCGCTCGGCCGTACTTCATTTTGCCGATATTAAATGCTGTAAATTCAGGCCGCCGCTCTCTCAACCCCCTGCCGCACCCTCCCCTCTCTCCCTAGAGCGATTCGCGCCTCCCTCCGCCCCCGGCTGCTCCGACCGGCCGACCGCCGCCGCAGGATGCCGGAAGATCGATGGACTTGTGTATATTTTTTTTCCGTATACATATATGTGTGTATATGCATACGTATTTCTATATATATATTCTTTTTTCGCTATTTCTTCGATGTCAGCCCCGCAGGCTGTAACAGTTTCCAGATTTTTTTCCCCGATTTTTCGCCATGACTCTGCATTATTCAACCCGTCTCTCTCGATGCGACTCGATATCGCGAGAAATCGAGGATACTTGCATTTCGAGGACGGACGGTTTGTGAAAGGCAGTTATGAATAATAGATTGCGCGGAGATGAAAGTTGGTATTTATATTTTAATTGGAATCACTTTGTAGCGCGGGAGAGGGGGGGGGGGTGAGGCGGCGAGTCGCGCCGCGATGTCAAATCGACGGAAACTTCTTCTGTGCAATTAACGATCTTTCATCGGGGCCGTTCTCTTATTATCGCGACGGAGTTTTACGCGTTATTATTACTCCGCACTGAATAATCATTTAGGGAATTCGACTGAAGTAAAACGATCGTGGTGGGAGGGAACTGGACGAGCTGGCAAATTGCGCCGTTTGTTGGGAGTTTGGAAACATAATTGTGGGAAAAATTAATTATAAATTTCTACGATTTATGCGCTCTTATATATGGATAATTTCGATTTCTTCGTTGTTAGCATATTAAGGGGCGGCAAACTCCTTTCTCTCTGTGGCAACTATTTTATCTTATGAGCTGCAAACGGTTAAAGGATATCATGATTTATGAGTTCTTAAATATACGAAGGTGATATTGAAGAGAAATCTCGGATGACAATTAAAAGTGGTTTTAACCTTATGTTAACTCTCTTAAAATACAAACTATCGTAACAACTAATCTCCGCAAAGGTGATAACCGCGAGTTGAAGTAAACAATCGAGATAGGGATGCAACAACGTTGCTGAAAAGAGATGCTTCAATCCTTCGATTCGATATTTTAAAATGTTGACAACACGCCCTTTTCAGAAAGGGGACACGCAAAGTGATAAAAACGATACGAGTGTGAACAGCCTGTATTTTCATCTATGATATCTTCTTTCTCGTTTTGAGCCCTTGATTCACTTAAATGAAGCATCGACGCGCAATTAAGAATCGCTCTATATTTCGCCGTATTACATTATAGCTGCATTATGCCAAAATAATCGTATTACTTTGCAGCCCTATGTATCGCGTGTAAAATAGTTACATTATATTATAGCTACATGACAACGAAATATGCGTATTGCATTATATTTCCATTATGCATTAAGCCGATGCTGTTACGGAAAGGGGGAAGGGCCGCGTGTTCGGAAACTAAGAGCCAGGAACAAGATACAGGAACTGTATATTATTGTTATATTTCAATATTCATATATTATTGTTGTATCTTAATATCTCCACCTTACGCAAATTGCTTTTTTACATAGTCACCGTCGGGATTCGGGCATTTGTCGTAGAGAGACGTGAGCCTTTTGTGAGCTCCCCCCCTCCGGAACATCGCGCGCCCAGCCGGTTCTTCCGGCGACGCTTTCAGCTCCTCGTCAGACACAAAATGCTGCGTCATTAAAAATTTTTCCCGGCGACGGAACAAGTAATAGTCGTTTGACGTCGCAGGTCCGGACTATACGAAGGATGATCGAACACTTTGTGACGGCGAAAAATTGGCTGGCTGCGCGACGTTGCGACGTTCCTCGACGAAGAGGATACAAAGATTACAGCGTTCCGCGCTACGAAAAATGCCTAAATTCCGGACATGACGCGTGTAGAAAAATAATGTAAAGTGCATGTTGGAACTGAGCATTATCTTCGGGACTATGTCCCGTTCCTTCAATGAGGCCGATCGGTCGTTATGGATGGAAAAATATAAATTGATCGATTCAACGAATCTACAGCTTGCTGAGCGAAATAAGTATTGTATCTAACAGAACACGCACGTGCAGCAAGAAAATTACACTTCCTGGCCATATTAGACGCAGTTTGATTCTTTAATAATCTCTAATAGAATAAAGATTAGGAGGAGAAGAAAAGCTACTAATTTTATGTTTACTCGATTAGAGTAATTTTCGGCGTCAAACAGCAACTTTTATTTCTGTAATCTTTTGAGATATCAAATCGCTTGTTTTACCCATAATTTTGATAAACAATATCAATATTTTTTACACAAGAATTTATTCTTCTAGTTGGTAAGCAAGGAATGTGAAGTTTCAAGTCACAAATAAACAAAAAGGAAAAGTAAATTCCAATCGACACACACTCGAAACACGTCCGGTCTTCGGAAGTCAATGAAATGTAAAAAATTAAGATGCGTCTAATAATATAAACAGGGACTGTATATGTGGAAACAATCGTGTTCGCCTCGGCTTATTCATCTCACGCAACGGTCGCGACGTTATTCGACGATCGGACTGCAGCGATTAACGCTAAGCGCGCAATCGGGATACTCGGAATATCTCAGTTTCCGCGCGCGATTTCTTCTTCACGTGCAGCGTCATCTCGCTATCTCGGAGACGGAGCTGCTGTTGGAGCCGGGATCTATAAAACGACGATCGAGAACGAAACGCTTGTGAAAATTATCCGATAAAATCGCGGCACGTCACGTCCCTCTCCGACCGCTTTCAACGTCGTCGTCATCGTCGTCGTCGTCGTCGACGACGAACGTACTACATGCCGGGATTTCATCGAGGATACGATCCCGTCGTCGACGACGATGCATCTCCTCGTCCGGGGTGCACGTCGTCGGCGCGCCAATAAGCGCAGTGTCGGGCAACTCGTAATCAGGCTCGTAAAAGCGGACTTTACGGCCGGACGAGTTTACGCAAAAACCCAATCATATCCGCATATAACCCCAGAGAGAGGGGAAAATAGCGCGGCTGTGAGGCCACCACGCGAGGGCACTCGTCCGCCCGTTGTTGTTGCACATAAAATTCCGTATCGTCGCCGAATGAAGATTTTGTCCCCCTCCTGGCCCGTCGATCGAAAAATCTCGCGTATTTACGCGGTTTTATAACCTAATGGCGAGAATGAAGGTACCGATCGCGCGTTTTAATCCCCGAATTCTCGCGCAGCGCGCGAGACGCGACGTTGATGCACGATCATAAAATCATTCCTCGGCTAGGGGAATTTATGAGACGAGCATTCCGCTGCATTCGGGACGTGTGGCGTGTCGCCACCACGAGTGTATTTTTGCATCACCGATGGCGACACCGTGAGTCATCGGACTTCTTGGCTTGCTTATCTGTTCAGATCTGTCTTTTAACTAATAGTACGCCGCTTATCGCGGTGCGATAACCGAATGGACTATTTTCGTGTTTGATACTCTTCTCATTGTTGAGTATTCATGAATAGAAAGACACGTTGAGGTATATAAAAAGGAAGTTTGAAAAATATATACTTATGATACCGATTCTCAATCAATGGAGGATATAATTTAATGTAAGAACGATGATGTACACGTGACCATGAGGACTCCCCCGCTGGTTAACCCAACCTAACCCAAACCCACCCTCTTCTCATCAGTAAAAATTGTACTCATGCTACTCAATCGCATTTCTCCGTGAGATAGACAATTATTATCTCTTCTTTTTATCTCTTTGCGTAATTTCGAATCTGCGTAAAATTACGGACAGATGAGCAGTGGAAACAAGCGAACAAGGGGCACGCACGTAAACGCGGGGGAAACGCTCGCGGTTCGCGAGATATTTTCAGTTTTATTTCCCATCAGGCGGACACTTCAACAACGCACGCGCGCGATATTGCGCGCACGTGCACGCGGACCTCGCGATATTTGCGAACCGCCGGACGATCGCTTTGCGACAGTTCACATACCCCGACAGACGTTGCGAGGCAACATCGGTGCGACACAACCGCTCGTAAAACGTCGAATGAACGAAAAGCTCGCGTCCATTGGCGAAATCAAGCGTATAATATTTCGCGCAGTGTTCTTGTAACCTAAATTAATAAATACGCAAATGTGACGCGATTTTTCACGAGAGACGGTGTTGACGGAAAAATATTATTGGTAATCACTGAGAAAAATACTAATGATTAATCACTGAAACAATGATCAATAATTAATTCAGGGATTAATTTACAGAATATCCCTATAAGCACGCAATAATTGCGATTTCAATTGCTGAAAGAGGAGAGCATCAACTGCCAGATGAGATAGGAAATAATTTCCGAGCTTTCTAACTTCTTATTATTTTATATGCTGGTATATGCTTAGTCATTTCGTTATTTGTAAGATGGAAAATCAACGGCCGGCAATGAAAGAACGAAATATCCTGGAAAGAAGACTTCTGTTATTGAACTTTAACATGCTGAATCTCATATTAATAACACCTACACTCAATTTTACATAATTTTTATATTCTTACATAAATTACACACCCACATAGTCGTCGCCAGCCGAATCTAACTCATTACAGAACTGCGAAAAGATCATTCGATGATGCTATATATATATATATATATATCGTACGAACATTCTAATTATAAAGTGTTATTATCTTTATTTCTTCTCTGAATTACTGTTTGCAATCGGCGATAAAGTGAAGCTATCCTCGCTGCCGAAAACGACCCTGTGATAATTTTGGTGAAGTAGATTCTTCAGCTGTTCGGCGTGTTGCCGATCTCTAGTCTCGCAGACAACCTTGACATCCACGCTGAATATGTCGGACATTATCCAAGCCCGTTCGTGGATGATGTCCTTGATGGAGACGCCGATGCTCGCCAGGGTCGTGCAGAGCTCCGCAATACCGCCCGGCCGGTCCGAGACTGTCACCGTGAATTTCAGGAGACGGCCCTCGGCGGCCAATCCACGCTCCAGGCATCTGCCCAAGACGGTCGTGTCGATGTTGCCGCCGCACAATAGTAACACCACCCTGACACACAGAATTACAACACCACACTGTTAATTACAAATCCACCGGCGGGCGCTGCCGGCTTCATCGTCGGGAAACACGACGATGACGCGCGACTCCGGGAAAACAAAGGGTTCGAATTCTAAGAACTTCTCGCTTCCTAAAGACAAGCAATTACAAGCAATTACATTGCTAAAGACAAGCAATTACATTGATCTATATTATTATATTAATATTACGTTTCTCCCTTATAATATTCCAATATAATATTCCTTATAATATTCCTTATAATATCCAATTATAAAATATTAGTTCAATAGGTACCAATAACATATTCACTAAATTTTCTTATTTAAGTAAAAAAAAAAAAAACAATTGCTTTGCATGAAAAGCTACAGATTTAAAAAAATGCATATTTTCTTATTTTTGTCAGCATAGAAACGTGTATTAATATAAATAAATATATGTTATTGGCACCCACCGAATATAATATTTCTTATTTCTTACATATTTATTTCCTCGTTATATTAACGCGGAGATTTTGAGATTCAAACTACTTGTGTAACTTGATTCATAATCACGTCGTTCTAATTAATTTTCAACAACGCTTACCGAACGTGTAAATCTCAGGGAGAAATATTGAGAGATACAAGCGTATATCGATACGAATCGCCGAGTATACGAAAGACTATGAAAAACCGCTCACACCTTTTCCCCTTAAGCTCATCGAGCTGACCGGCCAAGATGGCCGCTAAACCTGTCGCTCCCGCACCCTCGACAATGCACTTCTCATTTTCTATCAGCTTCAGAATCGCGATCGCAATCCACTCTTCCTTCACCACGACCATTTTATCGATCAGCGGATCCGCAGTGGCGAACGCGTTATATCCCACCATGGGAACGGCCAATCCATCGGACAAAGTGGACTGTATGGAGGTGTACGTTGGTTTACCGGCTTCACGCGCCGCATGATAACTCGGACATCTCTCCGACTCGACTCCCTAAGGTCCGAGAACTTTCGTTACCAACTCATTCATTCCAGATAAGAGTGATCTTTCCATCCAAGTCCTTGAAACAATCGAGCCTGGCACAGTCATTCGATACGATAAGCAAAACGGACTAATATGGTGAACTGGTAATTAACAGGAAAAACGAAATCAACGAGGTGCGCTTAGAGAAAAAATTAGCCGTAAGAGCTAAAATCTAGCTGCAGCAGCTAAAATCTGTCTTTAAAATAGGGACAGCTAAATTTATTAACTGTTTGAATTTAAGCGCTACAGCGAAAAATATCAGTCAGATCGCACAATAGTACCCAAAATATAGTCTCATAATTCGCATTCCCGACTAGAAATTTATTTCTTTCAACAGAAGTTCTTAATATATTAGCGTATGTTGATTTTGCCTGAAATTTAATCTTTTATTTGATTTAATGCTGTAGCCGATAAACAGACTTAAGATAATTAGACCGTAAAACCATTTCTTTAGGAATCCTCTTAAATTTTGTATATTAGTAGAAATATTATCTACACATCTGTAAAATCAGAAAAAGATTGACTATTCGGAAACTAAGATATTCACAGCTAAAAATGTCACTTTTTATACGTATTCCTTAAGGTTACAATATCGTATTTTTAACTTCTTTTTTTGTTTAATTCTTCTAAATTATATTTAAGATTTTAATGAAAAACCATGATATCAGGGCATAATATAGAGATTTTTAACAATGACTGCAAAGTTTGAACTAGCTAATGAAATTTAACCGTTATTGCTAAGTCATTTTTCTGACTTCAGTTTGGACTCACAATGATCATGCAATTCGGACGAAGCGTCTTGACAGCCAACGCGACACCCGCTATTAATCCACCACCACCAACCGGCACCACCACCGCGTCTATATCTGGAACTTGCTCGATGATCTCCAAGCCGAGAGTCCCTTGGCCAGCCATGATGTGCGGGTGATCGTACCTGTTTAAGAGAGAAAGAAAAAGATCAAGTGAAAAGCGTTATACGATCATTGTCGAATTCAAGACAAAGTTTCGTCAAAGTAAAGAAAAATATGATCGACACGGAACCCATGTTTATAGGACATTTTCTACTTCAATTTACATCGGAAACATGCTCCTTGTCTGTGCAGTAGTCTGTGCAGTATGTCATGTAACATCTAGTATAACGTTTCCAAATAGAATACTTTTATAAACTTCAGACTTATAGGAAAATGTATATTGCAATAGAAGTATGTATAAACATACGTACTCATGTTCTGCAACATAAGAACCTTAAATTTAGAGAAAAGAGAAGTAAACTAAATTACGAAATATATACTACTTCTTACAAAGATCCTTATAGATTTATTTAGCATCTATACTTTCCCTTACACACTAGTTTCGCCAACTTTCGTAGACGACGTATTCGAATTGAACTTATCGCGCGTTAAAACAGAATGAAAAAATTCGCAAAAAATTTGCTCTTTATTTACGACGTTAATTAGATATTTCATTATTTATTCGATCACTATACACGTACCCGTTGATGTAGATCAAGCCTTTCTCCTTTGCCTGCTTCAAAGCGATTCTCTTGGCCTCCCCCATGTCCATGCCGTCGACGATGACGTTCGCACCGTACTGTCGACACGCCGCGATCTTCATTATCGGTGCTACCACCGGCATCACCACCGTCACAGGGATCTGCAGCTCCTGTCCGTGATAGCAGAGGGCCAAAGCATGGTTGCCCAACGAGGCCGATATTACACCGATGCGCTTCTGCTCGTCGGCGAGCTGCAGCAGAGCGTATCGGGCGCCGCGTTCCTTGAAACTACCGGTAACCTGAACGAAGTCTTTCTTCAGATAGATGTCCATCCCGGTGTTCAACAGACGCGATTTCTAAATAATCAAACCAATTATTATAATTATTATTATATATAATCTTAATCTCATATTTCCCTGATAATCATAGAAACCCGTACTGGACTCAATCATGTTTTCTTTCTTCAACCGAGCTTCGTGAAACTTTGGTTACTATACAAACGGTATCCTACGATTTACATTTATCTCAAGATCTTTAGCATATTTGGTTGATGTGACGATACGTTTACATCAGTTTGTTAGTTTATAAGTGACGTCGTTTTCAAATAAAACAAGTTCGCGAAAGATCGGCTGATACGATGTCAAGGTGAACTCGATGTGAAATAATGAAGAGAATTTAAAATAAAGATTAGAGAGCTTAAAATAAAGAGAGCTTAAAATAAAGATTTGCAGTCGCAGATATATACCATCTAGCGAATATAGATATATAACAGTTATTGCGCATTTATCGAAGAAAATCATGGGGGAGTGGAATTTCCGAATTTTACGAGATCGATAAAAGTTGATTCAGCATACAAATGAATAAATAACACTCGAACTGGGTTCGAAGCGAGTTTGTCAACCAAAGGAAGACTATGACTATATCAGTTTCAACAAAGTAACATTTGTCGATAAAATCTAACGTATTATCTACGAGAAATCATGTCATGTCAAATCATGTCATATCATTTTAAGAAGTTTACGCCAACATAGACGCCTTTTCTCTGTTAAATTCAATTTGAGCCACTTTTCAATATATAAGATATGATTTTTCTCTTTTTTTTCCATGACTCCAGATTAAATTTGCCAATTTCGCCAAACCACGTGCACAAAGAATGCGTGGCATTAAGACTTAAAGGTTCTTACCACACATGGCGTTTTGATAATTCCGGATTTTATCTTGAACGCTGCCGACGTAATATCTTGAAATGTGATCTTCTGCGGCTGATCCTTTATGCAGAAAGGATCGATCAGCTCCTTCCCTTCGTCCTGCAATAAGAAAATCAGAATGTGTATCATTCTGCGTTTTCAGTACCAAACTGCAAGCAATAATCCTTATGTCTCATTCGATTTTAAAGTCAGTTATTCGATTTATTAAAAAATATGTGTCTTTTATGTTTAATTTTACGGTATATTTGAAGTCCATTAAGATCAGTACGGAATACTCCCTATATATATTTCCTTGCAAATTCGGTTTAATTAAAATTTAACGTCTTGATTATCGCGCTTCCTAATTGCTATTAATTATAAAGAAACTCGACTGATGATCGAATTACGTTGTACGTTTTAGAAGCCCTACGCCAGTACATATAATATCAGCGCGTTTCAATCACGGAGGGTTGATAACAATTAAAATTACACATATATATACACAGAGACACATACTCATTCACACACACGCACGCGCATATATCCTTTTCGTCGCACTTTTCGTGTAACAATTTCCCCAGCCGATGCACGATTTTCAATTATAAGACTTGAAAGCTACTTTATAAGCAACCTTTTTATTCAGCTGGTCACTGGTCATTGGTCACTGAAAACACCGAGAAGAATGCTATAAAAACTTGTCTCGGCACTCAGCCGTCAATAGGAAAGTTGAGCGTTACAAACGTGACTCCTGAACAACGTTGGGAAAAATATGATTTTTCTTATATCTAAATAAGATTAGATATAATTGCCTATCTAGATAAACTGATATGTCTGTGTATAATCAGCATGCGAAACATAGGAATTGCGTGAGAGGAAAAACGGGCCTACTACAAGGCCTATTATAAAGAGGAAGAAGAAGAAGAAGATAAACTGATGAGAAAATAAACGGGTGAGAAAATAAATTTATATTTCCCTTAGATATATATATAAATACGGAAAAAAACTATTATCTAGCCACAAATTTTTTATATCTTAAATATTGGATAAGTTTCACATATGTCGAAATATACTTACATAATCTAGATATATTAACATTATCTAGATAAACTGCTTAACTTTTCTCTTTTTTTTTTCATTTTATTCATATTTGTAGTCAGAAGTGTGGCAATATACCATCATGCTCAAACTATTTGGGAACAAAAAGAAGATGTAGAAAAGTCTAATTTGGTATAATACTTGGCAATAGTATTATTTTCGCATTTCCTTTCTTTCCTCCTAACTTCGTGTTAATAACAAATAGTTGTTTGCGGGCAAACGTGAGCAAATTGTGGACAAACGAATACCGCGTGAATGTTATAAAAACTCGCATTTCAGGATGCTCACTTCACAGAGGCGAACGTTTTTTGTTCACGATTGAGATTGGCGCTTTAAAGAGATTAACGTTTGAAAATCAAATCAACGATAGTTACATCGACCATCGGCGTCGGCGTGTGATCGCCGTTCATCAGCTGCGACTCGAACTTCCCAGGTGCGAACACGCTCTGGAAACTCGGTTTCTTGTTCAAGTCTCTCATAGTGAAATTCCGAGCGCGACTAGACTGGGTGGACTGGTGGTGCACGACACGGGAAACACGAATCGACTGTACGTTTCCCCGGTATTGTCGAACGTATTTATTGCATCCACGAACACGAATATCGTCCCGTTAGTCATTATCGAGCCGACCTTCGAACCCTCTTTCGACACGAGACCGTCGGACGAGTTCGCGTGAATATTCGAAGCGTGTTCGCGCCAGCGGAATGCTCATCGATACCTGCCATTGGTGCCGCGCCTCTCGAATTTTCGCACTATGCATCGACATAAATTAGTTTCTTCTCTTTTTCGTATATACCAGCGCGTTAGCGTTCGATAAAGTAAAGATTGATGAAGCGGAGCGAAAATTCTCGTCTGATATCTTAACGTTTTTCACCGTGATAAAAGTGCGTGTAATTTAATTTATTCATGTCCCGCACACTGAGAAAAAGATTTCTCCAAATTTAATAAATTTTATTGCATCCAAGCAAATTTCATCATCGGCATGCTCTGAAGAAAATGTTTCGATTAATAAGTACGATTGTTAGACTCTTCAACAAATATATATTTTTATCTTAATTAAAAAAGATTTGTTTGAAACGAAAGATAATTTTCTTATAAAGAGATTATTTGTTTCATTTTATATATTTATTGTGACTAAATAATATTTTATTTGGTTAAGAGATATTATTTCAAATAATAGCGTTCTTTCTGTTAAATAATAGTTTTCTTGAATGAGACACTAAAATTTTTACTCAAGCTAATAATATTTCGTACAAATATATGTTGTTTTTATGAAGTAAATTTTAGTCGAATAAATAGAAATAATAAATCTAGAAAAACCTTTTTCTCTATGCATTCACAATGAGAACGAATATGACAATTCATCAAGATTTATAGATTTATCAATCTACGAAACTGAAACAAAAGTCCTCAATATATTTTACCAGTTTATATTATTGGAACATAGATATGACGACATGGGAAAGTATAAATTTATTTCAACGTATACTGCGGGAATAAATCATATGTGATTTCTCGCTCCTGACGTCGCAAATCAATATGACAAGCAGCCGTCAATGAAAAGAGAATTAACATTTTCCTTTTGCTTAATTTTTTATGTATTATTGCACATCGCGAACTAATTACCTTGCGAATTTTTATTTTCGTTAACACAGCTATTACATATATTGTACTATATATTATATAGTGTATAACAATTTAAGCAAGAACTACTGGAGCATTGTTATTTCGAGTCATTCTCTTCAAAATATACAACATACAAGCAGAAATAATAGCCTTAATATTCAACGACAAGATAATAATTAGAATTTTTCAATCATACATACTCGTATATTCATGCGTTACGGCTGTTGATTATCCAACAGTCAGATTTTTAATGTAACTTAAACCATCCGAAAAAAATGATTACATATGATTATATATAATTATATAAAATCATATATGAATTTTACCAATATATGTAATTACATATATGATTATATACGTCTATACGAAAAAATGACGTGATGTCATTTAATTAAATGTCGATATCATGTCAGAAGCACAAGTAGCCAGAAACATTTATTTCGATTGTATTTGCATGTAATCTGTAAACAACACTTTTCAACAAACACATTTTTTCGTTGTAGACATACGTAATTACATATGGTCATATATGGGCAAATTTCATATATGATCTTTTCTCCCGGGTATTTACTTAAAAAAATATATTCTGGTTCACTAAGATTTTAACTAAATGTTTTAACTAAAAATTACTCTTGTACCACTAAAGGCTAAGACTGTCTCGGTCTACATACAGACTATTGTAGACATAATCAATGCCACGTAACGCAAGAAAAATCGAACTTTGTAACGGCGACGGGAGGAAAATTATTAGTAATAAACAAACCATAATCGCACTCGGGCTCGAGACCGATCTTCCAATGCACGTGACACGATTCCGTTTAGACTGATAAACAACAGATATATGTACAACACACCAGAGCACAAGAAGCGACACACTGTGTGCACCAATACGATTTATTTAGATATTCGCGATTGAGAGAAGAGGAGCACCAGAGTGCTCTGCTCTCGTGGTACAATACTGATAACCCGCCTGTCGAGCGTCATCTTTGATAATGACCTGCAGAGATAGTCTATATTCGTAATATCCGCCGAGAGTTAATATTTTCGCGTAGCGTTAACGAAATTGAGAAGAAAAACATTTGCTGCCGATACTACAATGTCATGAAACCCTGAAAATTGTTGTTACTGGCCTCTTTGACGCCATTGGTGGCTTGGCAAGGAAGAATACAGGAATGATCGTTCACATTCGTGATCTAAAAAAGGGTAACATTTTGTCGGGCAGTGTAATTTGAATTATACCGCGGAGCGTCGCGGATAAATCCTGTCTCGGAGAAATGCGAGGCCCGGTCTGCGATTACGGGGCGCGCAGGTAGACACAAGAAAAGCACACGGGAAGACACGAGAGTCTCCGACGTATGCATAAATTCGCAGCAATCATCATCGGCAGCGCGCACTTTTTTGCCGGCTGCGATAGTGTTACTTTCTGTGCCGCGTGCTACGTGCGCGGGCGTAAACGAGCATCGTTATGCTTGCATCAGCATCAAAGGCAAATACGACAAGCAGAGCGCGGGGCACGTGCCAGCAGTTTTCAGAACGTGCCGCGCGCGCGTGTGTGTATGTGTGTGTATGTTCATGTATCGGACCTGCCTTTATCGACGAAGAGAGGAGAAAGTAACGCCTGGAAATGCAGAGATTCGCTTCTCGGCGACTCCAATTATCAACATCCGCATCGTATCTCGCCGCGGTCAAACTGACCTCTGCATTTCAATGACGATGCGCGTTATCACGCGTTCGCTAAGTTACATTTTCTTGATGATTCAGACATTTTATCGAAAGGTCCATGCGTTAGCGTATGAGAGAAAAAGAAAGAGAGAGAGAGAGAGAGAGAGAGAGCAATATTTATGGAACTCAAATCTCCTCAAGCGCTATTAAAGAATACAGATATGTACTATATAAGATAATATGCAAAATATCATTAACAGCAAAGTAAAAATTAAACAAGCTGAGTTAATTATAAAGAGTGTTTACACAACGCAACAACTACGCAAAAGAGAACACTAAACTAAGTTAATCTAAAATTAAGCAAATTGAGAAATTACTGCGCAGAAACTAAACGAAAATTAAACTGAACTAAAACCGTGAATTAAGTGAAACTGAAGTGAACTAAGTAATAATAAATAATGGGGAATTTCCATACAGCGCCAGAAAGACTGCGGGAACTTATTATGTAAATATTACACTGAAACATCCAAATATGTTGCGAAATGTTGCTGCAAAATTATAACACAGTTAAAATGTCCGCCCTCATAAACATTGCAGTAAAACATTATAGTAGCTTTATGGTAGAATGCAACGTTATAGATATATTATATATTGGATGCTTCAGATTTTAACGTATAAATACTGCAAGTATATATATATAGGCACCAAAATTAAAAAAAGATGTGTAATCATAAGTTTATAATTGCTTTACACCCAAAATATAATTGAATCATGTGTAATAATTATACAAATTGGTTGAAGATAGCTTAATATATTTAGCATTATGAATACAAAGTAACTATAAATCTATATTTACGTTAACTTTACTTTTTTTTTTGTGCCCGTATATCCTATTCGTAGTTTATTCGTTAAAATCAGAACATCCTGTATATTAGGTACTTATTGTTGCAGTTTATTTATTTTTGGGTACGAATAAAAATTAGCAAAAGTGATATTAATCACTAACTTTATAAATTTGTTTTTCAGTTAATTAAAAACTTATGTTTATTTAATATTGCATAATCTGTCGTTTTATATATTTCAATATTGAGATGTGGCTCACCCAATAATTCTTCTACTGATTCATCGCATCTATAGAGTGACTCTTTTTAGCGAACAATTAGCAAACATTATAGTTAATAATATTAAGTCGTTAAAATAAAATGAAATAATGTCATTTAAAATAACAGTGCTCATTGTTAAAACGTTAGACCGATGTAAAAATTTAACCTATAAATATGTGCAGTTTTCATATAATCATATAATACATATAAAAATACTATTAAAATATTAAATAATTGTATAATTTTTCAGGAATGTTACCGTCAAATTTCAGTGGAATATTATAATATTCCATGTCTCTGCGATATCTTTGTAATATTATATTGCAACTTGCAACGTTGCAACATTCCTGCGATGTAACTACAAGCTTCTGTGCTGTATGTGAATTAAGATAAAGATTTAATAAAGTCGGGGAGGAAGAAATATATATAACAGAGAAGGAGAGAAAAAGCTTCAGAAAGAGAAGCTCCGTCTAACATTTTCTACGTATCTTCTCTGGCGTTTTCTATCTTTATTAAAGTAAGTTAATAGAAAATTTTCTTTCTCTTTTTATTATACAAAATATTAAGCTTGTAGAATGTTCGATTTTGGATATTTATATATTTACTGGGTATCAAAATCTGAAGTAAAAGTTGTATGTAGCAAAACCAGCGACTTTAATTCTTGATACGACGAATTCTAAGCTCGAGAGGAGACAAAACCCTGACATCAACATTAGAACTTTCATCTATATTTGAGCGGAAAGACCCGTTGTATCACTTAAGCTCACGGATTCGGAGACACCCTGTGTATTCGCGTCGGAAGAGGCGATTCCTTTCTCTGTAGACGTTAAATTAACAGGACGTTTGCTTTTTACAAGCTGAATCTATTTTTGAAGTCGGGAGTCGAAGTCCGTCGACTGGCAGAAATGGACGTACAGCGTGCGGATCGAGATTTCTCGCGTATGGGGGATTTATCAAGCAATAAAATGAAATGGCCTTCGGAAGCTGTCGCTTTACAAGCGACGTTTGTCCCGTCGAAGGAGAGCGAGTAAGAAAGAAGAACAGAGGGAAAGAGAGAGATAGAGGGACGAGAGGAAAAAGTAGAAGGAAGAGAGAAACTCCACGACGTTATTAGGATCGCAGTTGCCGGCGTCGATCACAGCACATTCAGCATTGCTGCA